TCCACTATCCTGACTTGTGGTTGAGGTCCGGCGGGAAGACTGCCCCTCCTGCACTTACTTGCAGTTGGGGATAGTTGTGGTCTGGCGGGGAACGCTGCCATCCGGAGCTTTCGGTTGACGATGAGGCGGAGGCGGGCGCGGATGAGGAGACTAAAGCCCTCACCTGACAGATGGGGAGATATAAGAAATGCATATAACTTAGGTGGATAAATTTATACTTATTAATATATATATATATGTGTGTGTGTGTGTATATGTATCTGTATAATATATACATAAGTATATAAGCAAACATGTTATATATTTACAAATATATGTATATATATATATAGACCAAATATATCTAGTTGAGTACTTATTTGGTACATTTTCTGTGAGAAAATGTGAGAATCGTTCACGCGTGCGTACACACGCTACACGAAGAACACGCCCAATGTCAGCCTGGGGGGACATGTTGAGAAACACGTATTGAAGCCTTTTAAATTCTCCTTCAGCCCTTCGGGTGCAAATTGGGGCGAGCTTGCTCACACTCGGGCTTGATTCTGCCTTCCATGGCAGGAGGAGAAATGGAGAAACACTACTGTAGATGGTTACTTGGCAGCAGTTGCTAGAGGGTCGCGTTGCATCAGAACCTCACATCGTCATAGATCTACTTCATGCAGTCTGTTGGGCTCACCGCCTGCAGGATTCATGGGTCCATTTATAGCTGTCACGGGGCACTTAATTATATGTGTGTATGGTGTATATACATATATATATATATATTAGTTGATTTTTTCCGGATCCCTTTGGCATGATCCTGGCTGGCCAAGGCTTTTTCGATTATGTGGAGTTGAACTTTTCTAAGACCAAGCTGACAAGTTCCGGCTTGAGGGAGGTGGTGAAATTTTGCAAACAATGCCCCGACCTGCGAGTCTTGAAGCTCTTTCAAAACGATATTGACGATGAAGGTTGCTTCGAGCTGGCAGGCATTTTCAAAGAGTGCACCCTCTTGGAGGAGCTCCATTTGAGCCACAACTGGATCACAGAGAAGGGCGTCGCCGTGCTTGCAGAGGCGGCACTTGAAGACCTGTCCACTCGTTTCTCTCGGCCTCTTTGGCTGAGGGTGGAGCATAATTATCTTAGCAATGCATCAGGTTTCATGGAGCGTCTCAAGACCAAATACTACCCACATATTTGTGGCCGTGATGATCGCAGAGACTGTTCAAACAAAAGTTGCATTAACAACTGCAGGATCCACATTCCTTTCCTGATTGAGGAGAGGGGAGGAAAAGGTGGAGCTCGGTGGGGTCGTTCAAGTTGGGACAACAATCACAATGACAATTGGCCTCAATATTCCCAGACTTCGCAGGCCTCGCAGTACAAGGCACGTCAGCCATCCAGGAGCAGATCCCCACAACACTGCCGCATCCGCCTGAAAGAGCGCTCATTCTCACTAACAAAGCCCAACCCTCGCTGGGAGCGGGCTGAGCCGCGCGCGGAGCGCATGCCCGAACGTCGGGAAGTCTACTACGACGTCGAGAAATACCGGCGGCCGAAAGCCCCTCCCCGAGCACCAACTCCACCGCCACGACCTCACAGAGAGCAACCTGTCAGGCGGAACCCTCCCATTCCACCCAGTCGGCACCGCTCGCCACCCAGACGGAACCGGCAAGTGCCTGCAGAGACTCGTCAACCACAGAAGCCGCCGGTCAGGCAATTTAGACGCCCTCCCTCCCCCCCCCAAAGCCAAAGCCAAAGGCTCAGCAGGTCACTTATGCTGTTCCGGCACCTTTGCCACCTCAAGCGGCTGCCGACTCAGATTACAGCTATTACTACAGTGAATATAGCTATGATGAGGATGAGCCACAACCTCCACAACCTGCCTGCGCTATGCCAGTGGCTCGGCCACAACCAGTGACGGTTCCCATGGCACCGGTGAGACAGCCACAACCTGTTCAGGCTCCACCCCGACCAGCTCGACCAAGGGTGCCTCCTAAGGCACCTCCCCGAGAAACTCCACGGGCACCACAAGGGCGAGCACGGACAGTGAACCGACGTGAAGCGCGACAACTTCAGGCGGAGCAGCACTTGGTTGAAAGGTACGAGGCTCTGAGCAGAAATGATGCAAGGCCAAGGCCAGCGAAACGGACTAGATAGGAAACAGATGGAAACATCGAGAATCACCCAATTGGGTGACAGATGGTGACAGGAACATGCAGGAAATGGCTTTTGACATTCTTTGGCTTGAAGCCACTGGGGAAGCCCTGTGCGCCAGAGGGCCATCACCAACCGACGTGCCAACTTTCAAAAGATGCATTCCTTGCCGAGGGAACTGCGGTGCTTTGCTGGGCAACCCGGAGGTTTTCATGTTGTAGTTTTTTTTGCACAGTTGCACTTTGTACATCTTGAGCCATGCTCAATGCATACTGTTCCAGACAGATTCACAGGGATTCCAAGCAAGTCCAAGACAGTATTAGCAATCACTTGCAGCGGTCTTTTGCCAAATCTCAGCGCAGAGGTCCAAAAGCTCATCACAACACCAAAGGTTGATCAATATTGGGAAACATACATGTAATGCACAGACAGATGCAAACGTCTCCCTTTGTAAAATTGTGTAACCCTGTGCCTGTATGCCAATCGATCCAAAATGATCCAAATAGATTCCAGACGGTAGCGGATGAATTACCTTGTCCATCGCTGCATGGCATTCCTTGCCGCTCTGGAAGCATCGAGCCAAACCTTGCATGAAGGTGCCTATTGCAGCAGCACCAGCACGGCCCTTGGCGGAAGACACTGTAGGTATCTGTAGGTGTTGTATTTGGTTTTGTTTTATATGTTTTATGAACTATATTGCAGATCTTGTGCCTTCTTCAGATGCATCCAACACCTCTAACATCCTCTCAGCTGACGCAACCTTCCTCAGGAGAAGCATCATGAATCTGAATCGTGAAGCAGCAACATCACTGATGCCACTCGCCACTGCTGCGCGCTCAGCTGCTCGCAGGATACCAAACATGTTGCAGTTGTTGAAATGTTGTTGATAGCACTCGACCTCGATAGCCATGAGTGGCCTTGCCCTTGTCCGGGGTGTTTTCGCACGGTGGACATTCTGGGCTTTTATGTTTGGGATGTCTTGAACGCTTGCTTGTTTGAGTGGAACTGCCAGTTTGTGAGACACTAGAGTTGGAAAGGGGCTCAGCTCGTGCCCCCTGCAATCCTTCCTCCCTCGCCCTGACCCAGTTCCCGTCATTCACAAACAACACTTTCAAAGATTGGAGCATGCCTCCCACCTGTGCACTGATAAACTCCGACGGAGGTTGGTGAAGTATATAGCTTTGTCAGTGTCGAACCTTGACTCTCTTGAGGCAAGGCTGAGGCTGGTATAATGCAGCTCGAGCCCTGAACTTCATACGTCAAAGAGGTTGCTTGTGTACGTTGCAACATGTTGCCATATGCAAAGCAAAAACTTTATGACATTTTGATGGTGCATGCTGGCCTTAAAGACACGCCGCAAACTTGTGAACTTAAATACTTGTGGGACACAGCTTAGCCAGCCAGTTGTAGCCAGAATCCTTGGTTCAATCTGCTGCTCCATCAAGCATTCCATGCCCACTGCATTCAGTGTTCAAACATCGCTCGCTATCGCGCCTCAACAGGTGGGTTCCAGGCTTGACATGGCTGGAATGTGCCTTTAGTGCCAGGATGGAAGTGCATGTTTATGCATTTTTGTAGTTGCCCACACACGCCCAACCGTCCATACCAAGTCATTCATGCACACCAAATGTCCAGGCTTTTCAATGGGCGGGCAACAGTCGAAATGTGTTGCTTGCTGCGGAGACAAGGATGAGTCAGGCCATGTCAAAGGGGCATTGGATGGAGGAGTGTGGCACGTGGATCATACGCCAGACAAGCTCGCATGGTATTGCCAGCAAGGTCAGCAAGGTGTTGTTACTGATTGCAATCCAGGTGAACTTCAACAGTTCGGGAACAAATGACAACCTTCAGTGTGAGTCGGGACTGGCACGATCCATAGTTTTTACAGGCATCATCTCTAACAGGCATCATCTGCAACATTTCAATCCACGAATTCATACAATCATATCATATCTACTGTGTATATATATATATATTCTGTCATGACCAATTATTTGAAGTGGGAAGTCGAGCTGCATTGTGCGTGCTGGTGCCAGGCAAAGATGTGTCCATCCAGCCTCTAGATGGTACAGGTCTGGCTGGCACCGAGGAGGTCACTGAAACCAAGCTGCTTGGACGGCGCTCAAGGCACAGGACAACATGTGACAAGTGAGCCCATCATATCGGATGAACGTCCTCCAACCTAGAAGCGATGGCCTCCAACCTAAGAGCGATGGCCTCCAACCTAGTAGCGATGGCCTCCAACCTAGAAGCGGTGGCCTCCAACCTTATGGATGGAGTTGCTCTTACTCATGTACGTGTAAGGAACGTGGATGGACTTTCTGCCGTGGCTGCCGCGGCTGATGATAAGGCCTTTATGACACCGTTGTGAGGACATAAATGTGTTCTACATATAAGTATGCGGGTTGGTTTTGTCACCCTGCTTCCGTCAGTGTAATCACCAGTGGTTGTTGAAGATAGGCTCTAACAGCTCGCGTTGTGTTTTTACTGAGTGCAATCTCACGATTCCACTAACTAGCTCAGATGCTGACACACGCACTTTCTGCGGCCACTGCTGGTTGATGAATGCCACGGGTGTGTGTGTGTGTGTGTGCTCCTACGGTGAACACCTGGCTCAAGGCATCAGCCATCACTGGAAATGCAAGTCCGCGGCGCTGCAGCCACTCTTTGGCTCTATCTATTTAGTAATTTAGTATCATTCTGGGGCTCCACTGGCAGCACCAGCTTCACACAATGTCCATCAAAGTCCATCCGAATAAGCTGATGTCAACTACAATTCTGCCATAGACAACATTGGACAATATTGGACACAAAGAGTTGAAAGGAATGCATTTCTTTTCTCAAAGAGCTAGGCTATGCTCGGAGATTTTCTGACCTTCTGAGACTTCTTCCAAGTGAGATCATGGCGGAGTATTTGCAGTCGTATGCAGAGGCTCTGCAGGAACGCTTGGAGCCCTTTCCAGAGGACGAGATGTGGGACTCAACGGATCCTGAAAATGATGGAGAAGATTCCAATTCAGAAGGCACGGATGTGCTGCAGGTCTCGGAGCTGTGCCTTCGTTGGCCAGCCCGACGTATGGGTCCCAACAGGCCTTCTCTTGCCTTTTCGAAGATTCGTTTTCAAAATATTGGTTTGTATCGTTTCGTACCATCCCCCATACACTTTTGCAGGCTACAGATCGGAGTCTTCTTTTGAAGATGACTTCCACTTCCCCAGCTATGAATTCCTGGGCTCAGTGCGCTTTCGGAAGGGCTATTCAATACCATCCCTGAACTACTCTCGCATGATTGCCCTGAGAGCTTCAGAGTCAATTCAGCCCGAAAGCTTTGACAAAATGTGCGGAGTTCACACGCTGGGCCTTAGGGCAAGCAAAGGTAAGGCTTGTTGATTCCTGTTAGTGTTCAAAGCGCACGCCTTAGTCCTTCCAAGCCATCCCGATTCCAGACAGCTCCAGACAATTTTTGTCCCTTGAAGCTTGGAGATTTCAATGGGTCCCCCACTTCCACCATAAGCATTAGGATCACCACGAGAATGACAGTCACCAGTCAGACCTAGAAACACAAAAACGACGTTCCAGGTCCAGGTCGCTTATGCAGCATGCCAGTTTGTGCAACTCAAATCATAGAAATATGATGAAACATGTGACTATATAATACTATATATAGAAATATGAGCTGCCATGAGGCTTCAATTTGCCGCAAGTGGTTGGTCACAGCTTGGTGGGAGAGGAGATTTTCACGCTATTTTTGGACCAACCCTGCACATCTATCTCAACGGACACTCTGATCTCTGCCATCAGTGCGGTACTTGGAGCCGATCCACTTTCTTTGACGCTTCTGAGCGAAGGTGTCCCACTTGAGCCTGACCAGATTCATGGCTACGCCCATATGGCAAGCCGTTTTGCATTTTGGGGGTCCAAACGCCATTTGATTTGGCATACAATCACACGCGCTGGAGCATGCTGGAACTAGATAGGGACAGGGTCCACTCAAATCAGTGCACCTGCACCTTGAGCTTATAAACCTGAAAGAGTCAGAGTCAGCGAACCAGATCGATGATACGAGTTGCGGACAAATAGGGAAAAATATAACGAGTTTTGCTACCAAACGATAGCTAGAGTTTAGGAACGCATACCGCATGCCAGAGGCATATGCACAATTACACTGGCTGCTTTAGAATGATGAATAGGTAAGAGGTAAGACTAAGATGTATATATATATATAATCAGCTGAAATCACATGACGCTGTTGTGCACATAGAACGTCGCTAGTTTTGCATTTGCAGTTCGGGCCAGATGTTTTTCTCTTCAAGGATGTTGGGTGATGCTTTGAACGCCATAGCGGTCAGGCTGGAGAGATTGGAACGGGAGTCGGTGGGTCGATAAGAACGCAGGTGTCCTGCACAGGAGTTCCTGTTGATGGCTGGCGGTATTCGCTTTGACTACATAGTTTTCACATGTGTTGATATGGTATGTAGATCATGTTGAGCATGCTCTATAGGTCGTGTGAATTCGTTGCGCTGCCATACGTGGAGCTTTTTGTTGTACATTCACGTCTGAAGCAATTTCTTGATCACAATTTGACCATATGCCCGGCCTTTTACATTACAATGGAAGTTGAACCGGAAGATAAATTAAAAGCTGTGAACAATGGTGAACAACTCATAGCTTCATGCGTGATTGGAAGGATGCGGAAAGTTTGCGGTTGTGAGCACAGTGGAGACTGCACCCAATGAAGCTATCCACTAGAGCCTGATCAGCTCTGTGTACTGCTGCGTTTTGACTTTCTAATTCCCCACCGTCGGTCCATTCCGGAAGTAAAAGCAATTTTTTGGCTGTAGAAATGCACCACTTCGATGCGTTTCTCCAGAACAAAACTACTTTTAAAGTTATTTAAATACATTTTCCTAGAAACCTCATGAAACCTGTGCGATACCAGTCTCTACTTTTCGATTCATTTCACTCAAGATAATTTACTTTCAGATGCTTTTCTCAAGAAGACTTGCTTCTTTGTGCAGTAGATATTACATAAGTTATATACTCACTTTGGGATTCCTTTCTCTTCGACAATGCATTTTTTGCGAATCTCCACTTTTCCACTAGTACCGAAATCGCTTTCAATTCTCTAATCTTGGGTTCTTTTCGGCCCGGTCTTCTGTACAAAATGTTTCAATACTTTTCTCTGGAAGCCTCTGCTCGATCTTTTCTATTCTAGAAATCTCGACTTTTCTATAAATTTTAGTCTTCCTAAAGAATCTCTACTTTTCGGCACTTACCTCTAGAAATCTCTCTTTCTCGATGCTACCAAATCTGGGAGCCTGTTCTTTTCTGCACTCTTTTCCCCCAAAAAGTTGTTTTCGGTACAGAAGGGGGGCTGGAGCCTGAGCTTTTGCAATCTCACGAAACAAGAGAGCGCAAAACAAGCGGTCCAGAAGGTAGTGAAAATACATGTTTTTAAGGGCCTTGGTGATGCGAGTGATGCCAATGACGCCCGCTGCATCATTAGCAAGGTGTGTGATGACAGGAGACTGGACGATCACTGCATTGTTTCAGAATGACAGGAAAGGAACAAGCTCGACTTTCAGTGCTTTAGCAGCTTAGTTGAAATGATTACGGTCACGCTTCTTGTCCTAGCTTTTGATGAATGCAGGTAAGTAAGAAAAGTCGAACCTGCGCCTGTTATGTTTTTTCGCCACGGGGAAAAACAATACTTCACATTGAGGCTCGATATGATAAAGGGTATATTATATATACAAGGCCTTTTATATCCTTTTACTATCCCTCATCCACTGTTACTGGTCATAGGTTAGACTTGGACCCCACTAGACTCACTAGACCGCAACTAACTTAACAGAGCTCCTCCACGCTTCGACGTCTGTGTCAGCATCTTCGAAAGATCCATGACCGACCAGCAGATCGGGAAACTCTGCGCGCCACCATATCTCGCATGTTGTCTGTGTCTGCGTTACTGACAAATGACACAGTGAGTGGCTGCCTCAAAGGGAACCCTTTATCATATCGAGCCTCAATGTTGAATTTTGCTTTTTCCTTGTGGCGAAAAAACCTAAAAGGCGCAGCTTCGACTTTACTTACTTACAACAACACAAAATACACGTATTATTGACTTCTAAATTCTAAATCCCTACAGGGGTCCCTTCTCAGGTATGAGTATCGATGCTTCTGCCCACCAGCCCTGCAAGCCCTTCTGGGCTTTACATGGGGGTTGCAATGTGCAATTATTATTGCCAACCTTCAATGGGCGGTCTTTTAGCATACTTGATTCATGATGGGTGCCTTGAATTGCAGAAGTATGTTTGGCCGTGCTGGTTGTGACCAAGCACAGTCCAGCAGCCATCCAGGCAGAGACTCGATACCGGGCCGCCGGTGTTGGTATGTGAACGGCGGAGCCACAGCTGCCTCAGCAGCATTCAGCCCCATCTCATTCTAAGCATGTGTCTCTTCATGAGTCAAGCTTCCCTAAAAATCTATAGGAGCCAAATGGTTAGCGATGGTTAGTGCGTGGGCTATCCTGCGTCCATACTAGTAGCTTACTTGTAGGTACTAGCGACTCCCTAGTTTCTACTGGCTACCTCGGCCTACCCCCCGTTCAAAAAAAGGGCTTACCGGCTCACAGCCTCCAATAGATCTCGAGTATCTCGATCCTTTCCGCCCAGACTCCCCGGAGACTTTGCTGGGGCGCCCCTGCCATGTGGACGTCAATCTGAACTACTTTCCTGGACCAGGCATTGCAACAATTCAAGCGATCCCAGAGACAAGAGACGCTTGGTACAATGAGGGAAATGGGAGGAAAAGATGTGATCAATGATGGGATATCAAGGAATCATGCTGAATCATCCTGGTCCCAAGGGCCTTCCTGAAGGGTAGTTTTTACAAACGCGCATTAACCGCATCCTTCAATCCTTCAAAGGACTTGTAGTTACATGGGAAGCTCTATAGTTCTACCGTAATCTACTTGCATGCCCTTTGCCGAGGAATTTGTGACCAGGGATCGCTTTGATAGCTGGATGATCTACACAAAGCTGGAGGCATGACGAGTGTGTGGGGCAGTGTAGGACCTATTTATTTGATGCCAGAAAATGCTTCCAGAAGCTTGTTGGATTGCAGAACTCAGAACTGGCCAGAAGGCAGCATGGGGAATGGGGAGCCACCAGGTTTCTGCATAGGTCTGTGTGAAGCCTCTCCTCATGCTGCATGAATCAGACCTAGATAGCCGCACAATGAGCCTTACATAGCCTTACCCAAGAGAAGGGGAAGAAGATAGCACCTTGAGTTCACAAGCAAGAAGGAGGGAGTCCTGATGATTACTTGGTGGATACAGTATTAACAAGAAAAAACAGGAATAGACTCAGAAAAGGACACTGTATATATATATATATAGTATTTTTTTAAAAATAGCTGTTATATAGCCTGTAATATAAAATACAATATATATATATATATGTTCGGCCATATGTTGTGAAGCCGTGAAGCCCGGCAGCTATGCCTAATTGCATGCTTTAACTGTTGCCCCGCCTGCAGGTACTGCAATACCAACGACCGAGTGAAAAGCGCTGCCGCCGCGATCTCTTGAAACCGCGAGGTTTTTTTCCTCGAGCACCTGCCTGGAGTTTGCCTGATGGGTGTCAACGCTGGGGTGCGACAGCTTAGTGAAACAGCCAACTCAGGTGTCAACATCTCAGAGCAACTCTGATTCTTTTTTTTAATGGGGGGGTAGGCCGCTAGTAGTAGCTAGGTCGCCAGTAGGGAGAGGTAGCTAGTAGGAACTGAGGTAGCTAGCAGTAGCTAGTGGGAAACTTACAGTAACAATTGATCCTGGACAATAGAGGCTCCAGGGATCGCCGACGAAATAGAAAACGATGCTTGGGAGGCGGGTGAGCCAGCAAAGGGCCCATGTGAGGTCATGGTGCAGACGTTTGGAGCGCCACGTTTGCCTTGCCAAACATCAAGAGGCTGATGGATGCTCATGCTGAATGTACAGCAGACAGGCTGGTTGTGCAAAGGCCAAGACTAAGAAAGCAGCATGAGACTGTTTAACATTTTTGCAGGATTGCAAGTCCAAGTCTGCCCTTCTGAAGGCCGATCCCTCGCTACCAGATGATTATAGATCCAAACCAGCTTCGTGGAACAATTCAGCTATAGGCCATAGGACGATTTACAGTATTTACAGTAGGCCTTTATGTGAGGATGACAGGCCAGTTGGGCTTGCCATCGAAGTGCCAAAAAATCTATGCTGCGGCGATTCGTTCGATATTAGCCACTATCACTATCCACTATCTAGTTGTCCGAAGGCGGGAGATCTTTTTCGTTGCTTGCATGGCTGCGGCGAGCCAGCTTCATGTGCATGCTCAAATGTGGTTTGCCAAACAACTTCATGGCATGTTTTGGCAGTCGAATATTGACCTAGGTTTGTCCGACATACGGAGGAAGGCCCTGTTTGGGTTCCTTGCGCCTTGGTGGACACCAGATGGATAGGTTGTACTGTTACACCGTTGAACTTGAACCTTGGCTTCTTGTGTTCCATCCAGGAGCCGAGACACTCTGAAGCTCTTCATCAAAGTATATGGTTGTCGATCTAAAGGTCCTAGTCAGCAGTGTGTATGACGATGACCCGGAACATATAAAAATCTCATTTGGCGAAAGTTTTTTCTCGAGCTGGCGAAAGTATTTTTTTTTGGCGAAAGATCTGGCGAAAGATTAAATATGTACTTTTGTATGAATGTTCATTTGCTTTCTGAACAGCTGGTGGCAGTGACTCAGAAGCTAGATGAGCTGTGGAAGTTAGATAACCTGCTGCTGCTGCGGCTGCTACTACTACTACTACGACTACCACTACCACTACCACTACTACTACCACTACCACTACTACTGCTACTACCACTACTACTACCACTACCACTACGACTACTACTACTACTACTATTCCTGCTCCTGCTTTGGGGGGTGGCTTTGCCACAACACTCTACCACGCAAAAGGCGAAAGTTTGGCGAAAGTTCAGCTCAAGATTGGCGAAAGTTCACCCTGCCACATCTGACCCCCAGCCCATTATGAGTAAGTTTGAGTGACCGGCTACTACAGTGATTCTTGCAATTTTGATTCTTGCTGACACCCAGGAGAAACAAAAGAGACGTACAGGGTGTCAACAGTTAAGTAGAAGACACATGCTGACAAACAGTGAAGTTTCTATTTTGTGTTTGCCAGTATATAAAGAAGAAGCCATTGACGTGAACAAAACACAACATACATGGCACACATAAATACAACGTACTTCGGCGACAGATAAAACGCAGGAAGGCGAAAGTTTGGCGAAAGTAATTTTTTTTGGCGAAAATGACGGATCCCGGATAAAGGAATTTAGATCAACTCCCATATATATATATATTTGATTATATTTGAAGAGTAATGATACATACGGGCCCAGGCTTGAACAGGGCTGATCTCAATTGTCCATGCTGAGTTTGTTGAGTGACCTTGATTCCTAGTGTCTTGGCCAAGGTGAGTTCGATGTAGACAGCTGTGGGCGTGCTCAACTGGTTGGTGGGACCCGCAGCCATCAGCACCCTGATTTGGCTCGGCAGGCTGGACCTTCGACGGTCAAAGCCTTGCAAAAGCAACAAATACTTTGATGATAACTGCCAACTGCGAATTGGTGTTATGTTGTGTGTTGTTCGGGGTGTTTGTATCAGGCTTTAGGCCGCACAAGTGGCCCAAGAAGGTGCACAAGCACGCAGAGTTCATTTAAAGATTAACAAAGAGGGTTCTAAGATTCTAAAACATTTTTCCTAGCATAGACCCCAAACAGTTTCGGCGTTGGTTTTTGGTGTCAACAACTTGAATTTCAATGTTGGTGGTGGTAGTGTTTGTAGTTATATTGTATTCCCAATGCCTCCAGCTGTTTGGAAGCGACATGCAAACAAAACATGCTTGAAAACAACAGTTCCTGATTGCCGGGTCACATGTGCAAACACGACGGGAGATGTCTCATGATCATGATCATAGAATCCGCGGATGATAGCAAAATAACTGTTGCATTCACACGAAAATATAGCCGGACAAGGCGGTAGAAGAGAAAAGGGAAGCGGCGTGGCCAAGCAAGGGGCCAGGCCCGACAAGGGTGACAAAAGGGCCGATAACGCAGACAAGCGGGACAGAATTGGGGTTCTCTCTGAGGGAAGGGATGGCCCAAGCGTTGTCCGCTGCGCTGCTCTGGGCCCTGGGTTGTCTTTGTGCCGGCTTTCCCCGAGAAACAAGGAGCACACGAACACCTTGCTCATGCAAATGATGCCGCTATCATTACGACTTGGATTTCTGCACCCAAAAAATGGTTTTTACAAAAAGTAACAGCACAACCCGTAAGTTTCCCGTGTTTACTCACGTGTCAGTTTTTGTTGTTTGTTGTCGTGTTTGTCATGGACTGGCAAGTCACGGGGCGATGCCCTGCTGCAGCGCAGGTCACGATAATGTGGATAATGTGGGTTGTCAACTCCAAAATCTAGCTATTATATCTTGTACTTGAAGTGGGCCCCTATCTCTGTTCTGTGGAAACCTATATAGGGGGGGTTGTGGAACTATACCAGGGGGTTGTGGAACTATACCAGGGGGGTTGTGGAACTATACAGGGAAGGCTCTAGAATTCTTCTAATGGCATGTCAGAATGACTGTGAGAGTCACTGAGACAAAAACGAAGAGTGTAGCGCGATGCAATGCTGCAATTCTGCGACTTTTTCAAGAGCCGTAGGATCTGAGTCCAAGTCAGCATTCACTGCCCTGTGGTTGATTGACAGCCTCCCCGGCTTGCCAATGGCCCGGAATGGCCACACCACAACAAAAACAAAGAACACAAGTACTAGTCCTAGATATATTTAAAAACATGAAAACTAGACCGACTAGACCAAACCAAGTCATAATACGTTCATGTTGGTTGGTTGGTTGTTCAAAAAGTTCTGGGTCTGAGTATTGTCCTGTCGTATTCTGCACCACTTCTAGCGGGCCACGGGAAAGCTGGCTGTCAAACCCAACTATCCACAGTCTGCAGTGCTAAGCTGAACAGATCTGATTCTGATCTATGATCTAACTGACCAAACTGTTTTGTTTGGCTCGGCTCAGTCTGAGTCATTGTCGTCGACCCCTTTGCGCTTGTTTCCACCACTCCTCCTGCTCTTCTTCTCCTTGGGTTCCTTGCGCTTGGAGTCCTTCTTTTGCTTTTTGGTTGCTGCTGCTGCTGCTGCTGGTGTCTCTCCCTCTGATGGATCCTCTGTCTCAGGAGGCTGATTCTTGGAATCAGTGCTGGGACGCTTCTTGCCCTTCACATGCTGGCCCTTCTGCGAACCATCCACCGCGTTGATCTGGGACACGAGCTTCGGGCTCACCTTCAGCATGTCAGTCTTGGTCAAGCCAAGAGTCCCCAGAAAGGTCATCACCTTCTGACAAACTCCGGGGATATTGTCCGTATGTTTCTTGTTCAAGAAGACGTCACAGCATGACATGACACCAATTGTCAAGACCACATCTCGGCGGCTGTCCTGTCAATGGCGTTGGACTGGAGATGATCACAGAACAATGTGGAAAGTTGGTCAGTGAGCGACGTCCCAGTCACGTCTTCACAGTCCAGTGAGTCCAGAGTCCAGTGTGTAAAACAAAAGATGGATCCAGGCTTTGAAGTTGTTACCCACCCAGGTCCAGGTTAGAAACCTACAGCTACAACTACAACCGCAAAACTGAACCCCTGCTTTCTGAGGGTGACACCGTGAAACCCCGCATCTGTGGAAACCTGGAACATTTGAAGAAGACCGAATGGCTGCCCACAAATCATCTATTAATAGAAATCATGAAATATTGTAATTTAATTTATGTCATGTGTGTTATGTTTGCTACTCCGTTCTTTGTCCTTGGCATCCTTGATTATATACTGGCGGCCTTCCATGCACGCACACACACACACTAGCAGAACCTACCCCATTCACACTCACACTGACACACTTCTTGGACGACGATGCCACACCTGAATCTGCGTCAGCTGATTCTTCATGTTTCCAGCTAATGCACGCAAGGAGTCATCTCCACCCTCGCAATAGGTGATGAGCTTGGATAGACCTTTCCCTTTCTCATTGAGGGACGTGCGTTGCTCAAGGATCAGATTCACATCGGAGGCCACCTCCTCAGCCTGTGAATCATCAAACATCCAAAGGACAGGGACAGGCTCCATCTGCCATTTCTCTGAGCATTCCAGGACTTGCCTGAGACAAGGTCTGGTCTAGCTAGAATGAGGGCACGGGCGGAATAAGTAGTGGTGGGGTCAGTGAGTCCATGTTGTATAAAGTCTAGGGCCTGAGCTGCTTAGTTTGAGTGCACAGTAAGGACGGGACGACAAAAGAAACATAACACAAACACGGTGACTGTCACTGCCACACACATAAATAAAGAGCAAGTGAAGTCAAGGTACTTATACTTGGCTCCCAGGGTGGAGAACTCCTCAATCTCGTGATTCAGCTCGTCAGTGAGCTCAGGTCAGGTGTTGTTGGTAAGGTAGGTCTGGGACACCTGGGTCACTTGCAAAGAATGCTGTTCAGCTTGAATTTGAATTTCTTTTCGATGTAACCTTTCGGTTGAATATCAGTTGATTATTTGTATCGTGTCCGTTCGCCATTTTGGCTCAAGAACGCGATCGCCAGGAAGATCATTTTCCCGTGTGGGCCTGGGATCGCGTGCCATGGCTGATCAGCCTACACCTTCGAAGGCAATGCCTGGCTCGGCTTCGGTCAAGCCTAAGGCAAAGCCACCGCCAGCGGCTCTGCAACGCCAAATGTTCAATGCATCCGCTCGGTGGGATGATGCCAGTTCAGTCAGCTCGTGGACTCGACTCGAACGACCTGGAGAAGAGCCTGGCTCGGCATCTGCGTCTCAGAAGTGTGAAGGTGTCTTTGAAGAGGCCGATCGGCCAATGGACCAAGGAACTAGTCAGCAAGGTGGACAGCCATTTACTATTCCACCGCCACCTCCTGTACCTCAATCGAGTGCTACACCTCAAGCTCCTCAGGCAGCTGCACCAGCTGCACAAGCTGCTCAGAGCATCAATGATCATGCTCACGAGTTCCCTGCATCTCGCAGACTGAGGAGACAGCAAGAAGCGGCTGCTCGCCGTGGACGCAGAGCATTCCGTTGGGGGCAGATGACGCCAGCAGATCTGGCAAGGAATCCTCTCAACAGCCAACTGCCGGGGCATCTTTCGCAGATTGGATCAAATGAGGGCGAGCGCTCCATCCTGATTTTGGACAATCGTGACAATCGAGTTCAGAGTCCTTTTCAGGGATGGCTCATTGATGAGGTTCTGACGAATGCCTTGTCCTACGTCAATGTGAAGTCGGACCGATCGTCAGTGAGGACTCCCTCCACAGGGTATCACTTTACCATCTTCATGGTACGCACCTTGGATGGTGTCAAGGTGACCCTGTGCGGATCCGCTACCTGCTACTCCAGTGTGCCATGCGCTCGCTGGGACTCCTTGACAGGTGAGGTGTTGAGTCATGCGGCTTTTCAGCCATTCAGGTGGCCACCTATGACTGAGTCAAGCCCGACCTGGGTTGATGTCAAGATCAAGTTGGAAGGTCACCTACTCGTCCATCTTGAACTTCGTGGCTATCGCTCTGATCATGATATGGCTATCCAACTCTGGCACGTCGCCGATGCGATCCATACGATCCTCTCGGAAACGGTGTTCATCCCATCGGTGGTCGTGACTGTCTTCCAGGGCTGGAGGGTGATCGCTTGCTCCTTCGAAGTGGGCGGTCGCCTGTACGCCTGTTCGGACGGAGGCGTTGTCGTGGCTTTGGACTTTCCACTTTGCCACTTCGAATGCCGTTTCGTGGCCACTTCATCGCCAGACTTGTTCGGAGCTGATGCAGACAGATTGGAAATGCGTTTCCTCTCTGCAAGCGATCGCATTGACGTTGCTGTCAGTTCGGCTGCGATTCCACCTTCGTGGCTTGCTTTCAGCAGAGTGTCTGGACCGACCCTGATCAGGAGCGCAAGCTGGGGGCGAGAGCATGGCGCCCGAGTGGAGTGTCCTGATCAGGCCCTCCAATTTGCTCAACTTGCTGCAGTGTCGCGAAGACAGAGGCCACAGCAGAAGAGGAAACCGGCCCTCGCATCTCGGCAATCGCCGTAGAGTCCAATGCCATGAACGTGCACTTGGTCAGTGAGAGCCCCTTCTTCAAGAAGAACAGGGTCATTGTGAAAGCCGAGGCGCTCGCTCTTCAGAGTCACGACCCGCTCGATGAGGTCGTGGCGACAGTGATGCCGCCGATCATCGAGGGCCCTGCAGTGCGATCAATGGATGTGGCTCCGAAGCTGGCTCCAGCGCTTCTTGGACCATCGTCCTCAGCAGGCGCGGCAGCAGTACCTACGCCCGTGAGCTCAGCTGTCCCATCGGTGACTGCGCCGGGTCAAGCACCAGCAGCTGGTTCGTGGATGGGCGGGACTTTGGCTCCAACGCGGCGCTCGCTCGAGCAAAGGCGTGCCGACACGCTAGACCACTCAGCGATGACGCCACAAGCATTTGTTGAGTCAGCTCGAGCAGTGG